CCCGCAACATGTGCCCAACGGTCAAATCCACATGGGGGTCTCGAAGAGTTGTGTGTGTGTTTGTATGTATCATTGAGCGACTCAACGCGCTACTGCAGCTCAAGTGGATGGCAAGACGAGTTGGTAGAAGCCTCCGGCCCGCCTCGAACCAGCCCCTCATGGAGGCGCGAAGAGCGAAATGGTTCCGAGATTCATACCGAATAGGCAACAGACTATTGACGCACCAACATACTAAACCAAGTGAAAAGGTTAATCTACTGTTTCATTTATAAGTAGGTTGTCGAGACTACCAGTAGATCATTTATATATAAAAGGTATTGATGGGATACGAGGACTGGTAGTTGCATTTTTCCCACATCGATATGAGTAGACCCTACACTTTCATTGAATTTCACATATACATGTTTTCCCAAAAGGCATTTTCATCCAGGCTGAAATGGGCTGCAGTTTCGACCTCGTCTGCACTGGTCTTATCAACGCATACAGCGGGACTCGAACCGTGATATTGTAACTTATAATCTCGTCGTCAAGGGTGCCTTTGGGTAACAGAGCAGATGTGAATTTTAAGGAAGGCCAGGCATTTTGCCATATCACATTCTGTGGTGGAAGTGTCACTAATTCAAAGTTGTGTTCGCTATAGCAATCGACTACACTTATTACATAAATGATCTACTGATAGCCTCGAAAGCCTACTTATAAACGAACCATAAGTAATGTCGTCGATTGCTACAGCAAATACAAGTTGGCTTCATAGGAAACCAGACGACAGTATGTGATATGGGTCTTCCTCGAAATCCACATCTGCCCCGTGAACCAAGGGCACACGTAACAATCTGGCCTTTTGGGTAACATGTCGAGATTATACGCTGCCATGTCATGGTTCGAGTCCCGCTAGGGGTTTCTGATTAGACTAGTCGAAGCATGGTTTTTAAATTGTAGCCCAGTCTAGCATGGATGAAAATGCTTTTTAGGAATCGAAAGCTGTGTGAAATTAGCTGGAAATGAAAGGTCTACTCATATGCTTGTGGGAAAATTCAACTACCAGTCCCATTATCACCTTAAACCAAATAGGCTGAGTACGCTTAATCCTCTGTTGCTCTTTCTCTCTCTGATGATGCCTGTCATGGCAACATGGAAAAAAAGATCTTTCAGTTATCCTTTTCGCCAAAGTCGGCCGTCTTGCCTTCAAGGCGAGGCGAATTCGCGAAGTGCTTTGTCCCTCTTCAAATGTAATGTCGAAATATATTTAAAGGCTCAATCGCTTCGAAGCAAGCTGACTACCGATTTGCGTCATCTACAGCTGAAGCTTCAAGTTGTAATAAAACTTTCTCGTCTCAGTGTCGACCTGTAACCTTTTCAAGTGGCAAAAAGGGACGAAATCTGAGCCAATCTTTACGCGAAACGACATCGGCATCAACCCTCGTCTTCTGTCTTCGTCATCATCACGCTTCACTCCTAGAAATGTCAAGACGCATTCAAGTATTGAAGGCTTCTGCAATAGAATCCCACCATAGAGACACTTGGCTAGCTAACACTCTACACGACCAGGGTTCGAATCCCGTCGGTACTGCGGGCTCGAGATGGCGTTCCAAGTGAGCTCGATTGGCGTAGACACATCATCTTGATTCTGCTGGAAACGACGAGTGACGCGGTTTAGTTAATTCGCCTCATCAGACGCCTCAAATCCTCCAATCAACCTCTCGCGTGAAATCCCAATTTTAGTCACCCAAAATAGTACAGAATGCCTTTAAAACCAGACTTTTCAGATTACCATTTGCCCAACGTGTTCCCGCCATTGGCCCACAGCCACA